TTGGGCGACCAAGTACACCAAGTCGTTGGATTTGATCATCTCCACTGTTTCATCCACGAAGGTATCTTCCCAGATCTTTATTCCCTATCGGGTTTGGATGTGTGTGTGGAAAAAGGGTAATTTACTAATGCTCGTCGTGTACAGATGCCCATGGAACAGTACGTCGGTCTACTGGCGGTCAACGGTACTCTGTGCCAGGTCGGTCTGCCGGAGGATGGCACCCTGGTGGCGCCCGTTAAGCCTCTCATCCGTCGGCTGAAGGTGACTAGCTCGTTGGTCGGTAGCCCTGATGAGATCCGCGAGATGTTCCAGCTGGTTCTGAACAAGGGCGTCAAGCCTTGGATCGAGGAGGTCCCGATGAAGAATGCCAACGAGGCCATTGTCAACATGCATGCTGGCAAGGCCAGGTACCGCTACGTGTTGGTTAATGAGGAGCACTAGACGGACCGGGCTTGGTGATGAGTTATGACGAATGTTTAGACTGTATAATGTATTACTAGCAGTGAGATAGTTACTCATAGATGAACCTGCAGGTTTGATAGAGAGTCAGTCTAGTACGCACTCGTAATAGGCCGGGTCTTGGCTGCGGCAGGCCTACAATTTCCATACTCCAATAGGCACGCCACGTGATCGTCTCCGCCATCGGAGCCACTAATCCCAAAGCAGCAGGCAACCCCTCCGAATTTCTTCTTTGGGCGAGTGAATCATCGCCTCTTGTCTTCGCCCCCCTCACTCTCCCTCACTCTCGCTCTCTTCATATTCCTCTGTTTTGTCGCTGGGTTTCTTGTCAGAAGAGGCTCTGACTCGCAATTGAGTGTATTCTTTGTCCTGTCTCCTTTCTTTGCTCCCCCATCATATCTCCAATCAACATGTCGCATACTCTGTCGCAAAAATATTTGAGCACGCGGGGTGCCTCCTACGGGGTATGGCAACAAATCCCTACAAACAGCAATTTTCGATTCAATGGCTAATCTGTCCTGATCTTGTGCTTAGCTCTCCTTCGAGGAGGTCGTCTTGAAGGGTCTGGCCTCTGATGGCGGTCTCTTCATCCCGGAGGAGATCCCCTCCCTCCCCGCTAACTGGGAGTCCGAATGGCGCAATCTGAGCTTCGAGGAGATCGCCTTCCGTATCATGTCTCTCTACATCTCCGAGTCCGAAATCCCCCGCAACGACCTCGAAGACATCATCCGCCGCTCCTACGCCACCTTCCGTCACCCTGAACGCACTCCCACCATCGAACTCGACGGCAAGCAGAACCTCCACCTGCTCGAGCTCTTCCACGGTCCCACCTTCGCTTTCAAGGATGTCGCGCTTCAGTTCCTCGGTAACCTGTTCGAGTACTTTCTCGTGCGCAAGAACCAGGGCAAGGAGGGCAAGGACCGTCACCACCTGACTGTCGTGGGAGCCACCAGCGGCGACACCGGCTCCGCCGCCATTTACGGTCTGCGCGGCAAGAAGGACGTCTCCATCTTTATAATGTTCCCCAAGGGCAAGGTCTCCCCGATTCAGCAGGCCCAGATGACCACCGTGCTGGACGCCAACGTGCACAACCTCACTGTCGAGGGCTCCTTCGACGACTGCCAGGACTTCGTCAAGGCTCTGTTCGCTGACCCCGAGCTCAACTCCACCCACAATCTCGCGGCCGTGAACTCCATCAACTTCGCCCGCATCCTCGCCCAGATCTCCTACTACTTCTACTCCTACCTGTCTCTCACCAAGTCCCCCTCCTTCAACAAGGACTCCAAGCTGCGCTTCGTGGTCCCCTCCGGCAACTTCGGCGACATCCTCGCCGGCTGGTTCGCCAAGCGCATGGGTCTCCCCGCGGAGCGCCTGGTCATCGCGACCAACGAGAATGACATCCTGGACCGCTTCTTCCGCAGCAGCGGTGCTTACACCAAGAACGACGCCAACGGCACCGGCGTCAAGGAGACCCACAGCCCGGCCATGGACATCCTGGTCAGCAGCAACTTCGAGCGCCTCCTCTGGTTCCTCGCCTATCAGAGCAGCGACGCCGCCTCGGCCGACGCGCGCCGCAAGCAGGCTTGCGACAGCGTCAGCGGCTGGCTCCAGCAGCTCAAGTCCGAGGGCGGCTTCCAGGTCTCGCCCGCCGTCTTCGCGGGTGCCCAGGCCGAGTTCGAGTCCGAGCGCGTCAGCAACGACGAGACCATCGCCCAGATCCGCGACACCTACCGCACCTCCTTCCCGGCCAACCTGGGCCCCGGCAGCGCCAAGAGCTCCAAGACCGGCGGCTACATCCTCGACCCCCACTCCGCCATCGGCGTCGCCGCCGCCCGCCGCTCCATCCAGCGCAACCCCGGCGCCGTCCACATCTCCCTCTCCACCGCCCACCCGGCCAAGTTCGCCAGCGCCGTCGACCTCGCCCTGCGCGCCGAGGACGGTTACGACTTCACCGAGGTCCTGCCCCAGGAGTTCATCGGCCTGGAGCAGCGCGAGAGCCGCGTCACCCCCGTCGGGCCCGGGGCCGGATGGGAGCAGGTCCGCGAGATCGTCAAGGCCGAGGTCGAGCAGGAGTTGGAGGGTAAGCGGTAGATGTGGCTTGCTTATGTCATAGACAACTAAAAAGAAAGATCTCTGTGTTTGCATCTTAAGGCCCTTTACTTCCAGTGTCATATTTCCCCCTTCCGCATCATCGATCCTATATATGTTCATGACGATAAGTTTCTTATTAGGCTTTTTCTTGCCTCTACCGTGATATCATAAAAGCTACATTGAAAGATATGACATGAAATTCTGCCTCGATTTGGGCATCCTACTCTTCGACTATTCCTTCCCTTGGTTACTATTCGCATTGTATGATGAGCGGGTGGATAGGAGACTATCCACACGTATATCAAAAGATTATACACAGATAAGAATGGTTTACTCTTCTACCTTGATTGATTCTGTGCTATCCTTCGCCTCAATGTCTCTATAACTTTAGTTCTACTACTCCCTTTCTGCTAACATATATTTTAGACCGCTGCTAGAAGTAACAGTGCACCTAACTACCCAACTAGATAATCTAGTACTGATATCTGTCTCCTTCTCTGTATATACCCTACGTACACTGCATATACATCTTATAATACCCAGTTACAGAATAGTCCTCTTCACATCTACTTGAAACGAAACCATACTTAGCTGATACTCTAGTTACTAGTCATACCCTATCTCTAGAGATTCATAGCTACTTTATACTATACTCTCCCAGGGAATAGTGCTACTAAATAGCAACCTTACTTACCATCTAATCTGATCATGGATTGTTAGATCTCCTACCCTACTCAGTAATTGACACGCCTCTGCCCTCTACCATTACCAGTGGCAAAATTCTACCCTCTCTCAGATCTACTATGATTTGTATAATCTACCCCCCCTAATGATACTTACTTCCTCTTCCACTATATCATTTAACTTGTCTTCTCTATTCTCTTCCTCTTCTTCTTCCTTCCTCCTTTCTCCCTGAATTCTCTTATAGCTATACTCCTAACATCCTTCCTTTAATTTATACTCTTCTATTTGGTTTCTTCTCCACCACCCTTCTTTCTTTCTACCTTTCCCTCCGCCAGTCTAATACTAATATCACCTTCCACCCTTATCACTAAACTAGAGGGTCGAATTACCCGGCCAGTTCTCCAGTCTCCACAGTAACCGTAACAGTCTCCTACTAAGGTAAGTATCACCCCTTCTATACATCTCTATACATCTATATCGCTCGTGGCCAATCCTAACCTAGCTTCTTTTCTAATATTTATATCATCTTGACTAGTACTCAACCGCTTGATTCTCACTCATACACAGTAGACCAAGGTCGAATATGTGTTGAGATACAATCCTAGTCGCGGGATAGTAGCAACTATTCCCCTTCCCAAAAAGACCAGCTGGTGCCTGAGAGTTCGAAGTCGGTTGCCGCCAGGTATAAGAGGGTCCAGGAAAATACCCTATGGGAAACTACAGATCGTGACAAGTTTGTTGTACTATGTACCTAGGTGGGTGGTTTTTCCAGCAGCCCTAACTCAATCCTTTGCCAATCCGAAACTAGGGCTAAGCCTTGAGACCTATCTCTATGTGACTTTGTTTTCACAATGGTGGGGTACCAGCTTGGGCCGTTTGACTTCTTCTGAATATGCCGTATCTCGACTAGCATTTGGGGAATATAAGGACGATGCGGAAGCCCTGCCCAGGGAAGAGTTCTACTCCCTGATACATACACATGCGAGTCATAGGGTGAGGGCTAGTAACGACATCGCCGCGTCAGGGATTGTCATGGGATCTAACTATGGGACTCATGCACGTTGCTTGAATATGCTGATCATTCCCTATCGTGGAGCTTTTATTTTGTCGGCCTGATATCATTGGGTTGCATTTGATTCTTCAACTACTCAGTACTCATACTCATATCTACTCGTAGGACCCACACACGAAACCCCCCCCCCCCCCCCCATATTGTCTCCGAGGTGGTTGTACTGGGTTGGGTAAAAGACTACGTAAGATGCAACCCCTTCCGTTTCCGGGATATATGATTACGCACTCACGGCAGTGGCGGTGTGACAGGTTTTTACTATGATAGTAGGAAGACAAGAGAAAGAAATTGAGCCAGCAAGAAATGCATAGAAGCTACGTGAAAGAGAGAGTGCAGGCTTGAAAAGTGATTCCAATAAAAAAAGAGAAATGCCATTTTTATTCCACGTACCGTACTCATTATATATTATTAGACTAGTAGGTAAAAAGAACTGCCAATGAATATCAACCAGGAGCTGAGCACAGTGTTTCTTGTCGCTCACCCCAGTGCGCCTGGCTGTGTCTTGAGTCGTAGTCCTGAATCATAATCATAGAACAGTCTTTCTTTCTTCATGACATAGGAAAAAAAAACCAACGATGTAGCAAAAATTCAAAACCAAACTCCAAGCACCGATTGTTTTGATTTGATAGTTTCTTCGTTTGGTCAGAGGGGAAGATGAGTGGCTCTATCAATTCATTGCTGAAGATGGAGGTGTCATCTACAGAAGGGCCATCAGACCCATGACAGCGGCGAGAAGACCGGCCACGGGCTGCATCTTGGAAGCAGCGCCGGTAAGACTCGAGGCCAAAGGCTCCGCTGGGGAGATGCCGGTGGGCTGCTCGGGGGTCGAGGTGCCAGCAGGAGCAACAGGGCTCGAACCCTCAGGAGCAGCAGGGCTGGAGCCCTCAGGAGCGGCAGGAATGACAGGGCTGGAGGAGCCAGGAGCGCCAGGAGCAACAGGGCTGGAACCCTCAGGAGCGGCAGG